TTGTTGTATTCTGAAGTTTACATTTCACTATTTCCGCTTTTAGCTCCCCTTCTGTACTATTTCCAAAGCTCTTCAGCCTCACATTTTAATTTATGTCATGTCACAAAACAGAATGTTCACTTTGTCTGATTTTGTTGCAGTCTGCCCCATATCATAAAAATAATAAAGTCATCTCACGTCTATTATGCTATTCGCAAGCAAAACGTTGAGCAGTTAAAGTAGCAAAGAATGCACACCAACACTTGTGAGTGAGTTGCTAGAATATACTCACTTCCAACACGCAAGTGTAAGTACAACAATAACTTAGAAGATTTCCAGAATGGCTTTATCTATATCATCATAACAAGGTTTTACTAAATATGATGGTAATTATTACATGGTTGCTAACATACGCTTTTACCATTGTTATTCTCGATATGGATTCTGCGCATGTGAAATAATTCGATGCAGTCCTGTGTTGTGCATTTGCGGATATAACAATTATCCGATGGATGGACTACTGACAATAAACAATTCGATGAGTTTCTCAAATTCAGCAAATCATGCCTATTTGGAGTGGATTCCATTTGATTGTATATTTTATATTTGGGAACTATGGCGTGTACTTGGATGGTTTGTTTACCTGCTCTTGCATTTGTTAAATTGTGATAACAGACGAGACACATGATTTATACTATGCCGAGTTAAGCTATTTACTTATGCGTCTTGTTTATTGACAATAATTATTGACATATCATTTCCACTAGTTGTTACCACGGATGTTTGGGTACCATCGGATTTACATATCATTAAAGATGCAGAAATATTGTCTAATTAAAGTCGAATATATACTATACTTCCTTGCATGTCAGACGCCATCACCCGATTGGCCAACTGTCATGGAGTAATACAAGCGATACGTATGTACGATGGTAGAATATTCACAGTTAGCAAAAATGCAAGCGATGACATCATTACGCCAGGAATGCAACTAGACTACGAACGGACAAGAGTGACACAACAGATAATTGACGAACAACCCATTATTATTATTATTTGATTTTCATCAGGTAAATTGGTATTCCTAACGCGTTTAAATAGACCAACGTTGTAATGACTGTATTTTTCTCGAATAGCTAACTAATGAATACCCCGAAATATTAACACTAGAGAATATTGGGATAATTGGAATCACTCCGGAGCCATCTACTCGGGAATACTATTTAGTATATTAATATGCAATATCGGGACAGGTTTATACAATTCAATAAGTACATGCAGTACAGCGACTTTTATAATATTGAACAGAAACAGTTTATACTGCCGAATATAGAAATTACGTATTTAGAAGTAAAGAAAAGGAATATGCACCGAACGATTTCAGTAGTAAAGAATATCGATATTAATATGCAAGAAACAGTTGTACTCGAACGCTTAAAGAGTTTTGATGAAACACCGGAATTATTTATCTCCAATAATTGATACTCCACAGCCAAAATCACGCCAATTCAGATTCTGCTGTCATTCACTCCATTAACAATCCTGGAAAAGAATGAGGGATACTATTACCGTGCAAAGAGATATACGAATTTGAGCTCTCTTCCCATGCGACTGTTCCAAGTGTTTATTTAACAACGATGATTTCTTGGGAGGAGACATTCGCTCCGAAACCATTCCAGATCCTATAGAAATAGCAATCAAATTGTTATTCATAACGTGTTTTTTTTGTCTTTTTATTTTTCCATATAATATTCGAGAACAATGCATATCTTAAAAAAGAAAAAGGCAATTACAACAGAGAAGATTATAATACGTGATGATATTTAAATGCATATTGATTGAATTCACTAGAACTAAAAGACAAGTCGCAATAATAACATGACTTTATTTAACAATAGTCCACCATCAACTCGATTACATCTAGTCACCGCCTCTTCATCTGCAAAAATGCGAGTTAGCCGTAAATATTGGAACGGAAAAACGACAGCCTGCCATTTAAACTGTGATAAACTTACTTGTCCACTAGCCGCCTGTCGTTGCTGACCGAGGAAGGCCTTGGGGGCAGTCCCCCTTTGGAGGGAAACGTTATCGCGTTGAATAAGTCGCCCTATTCCAAACCATGCTGATACCATGAGTCGGTTCTCTAATGCGAGTTGAGCCTTGGCCTCTTCATACTCGCGCTACAGAATATGGAAGATTCGGTTCATTGTCTATACAAATGACCTGTAGTTGCAATGCAGGTAAGTGTTAACCCTACCTTAAGCTGCCTAAATCTCTCCTCGAGAGTCTCCTTTTCAACTTTGAAGGACTCCTCTATTGCCATGTGGTTCTTTATTGCTTCGTCCTGACCAGCCATGACGTTTCTGAGTCGCTTGATCTTCTCTATATTTGTTGTATTCTGAAGTTTACATTTCACTATTTCCGCTTTTAGCTCCCCTTCTGTACTATTTCCAAAGCTCTTCAGCAACAAGTCCAATTCCCTAAATAAAGATAAAGTTATATAGACTCCAATACCAATGTGAATTCACAGTTCATAATACTTCTTAAGTTCACATACTCATATTTAGCTTTGTACATCTCTCTCTCGGCCTCTATATCTTTGACCCTTTCATCAATTGCTGCTGTAGAAGAAAGAAAGCGAAATCATACTTTAGTATTATGTATATTATTTTCTATATGCACGCACCTCACAAATATCGCAAATTCTCCATAAAGCTTACATCCCATAAGAATTATGCTATTCAACAAATATTCGAAATAACTAAAACCAGAAAAGGGCAAACTGCAAATAACATACAATTAGCTTTATATTCAGCGAGCTGTTTCTCGGCATTCTTTAATTTAAATTCTACATCGAACAGTTGCTTCTTCGTATTATTCAATTCCTTATTGCTGTCATTAATGTCCAAGCTTTGATGTATAGATAGAAATGGAAACGGGTAAGTAAAGTTCAACACGTCTGCCCGTCAGCAATATGCAATAGTCTAAAAAAAACTTACCCAGCCCCGGACATAACTCTCGCAAGTTTATTTTCCAAGTCCAATTTTTCAGTCAGGACTTTTTGATAATCCTAAACGTAAATCAAACATAAATTAAACATACAATTACGCATCACGCATAACACATATCAATTACAATGCAAAAATATTACCTTTTCGGATCTTTCCTTACTACGCACCGCATCGGCGAGTTGACGTTGTAAAACAATGATTTCTTGATCATCATCTGCAGATTTACCCTTACTGCGCCAACTACGGAGCTCCCGTTCCAGTTCATTGTTTTTCAACCTAAGTTGAGTCATAGTGGTGCCCGTTAGCGCATTGGCTAACTCACCTCCCATGACTGGTGCATCAATGTCGTCTACTTCTTCTTCCTTTTCATCAAGATTTAAGCGTTCTCCTGTGAATCAAGAGCGATAACCGGTTAAACTATTTTTTTGCCATTTTCATCTGTAGTGTGAAATGTAATGATACTTACCACCACCAAATTCCAATTCTCGTAATCTGTCTTCAAGAAGCTGTATCCTTTCTATGTCTCTGGATTTCTCCATTTCATATGCTTCAATTTTCGCTCTCATATTTTTATACTCGTATTCGTATTTGTTTCTAAGACTGACCAACTCTTTGTTCTTTTGTTCAAGCTCCTCAACTTTATTCTTATACGGTTCCAATTGTGCTTTAATCTTGTTCACTTTTGAAAAGTCTTCCGTGATTTGTGCATTTTGCTCAGCAAGCTGTCGGTTCTCCTCCTCTAATGTCTACGAGACCACAAATGGTAAATTAACATCGTTACAAATTTATAAATATAAACATTTTCTAGCTAAAATTGTCCATCCACCAACCTTGAACATTCGTCGAAGATCTGCCCCCTCTTCCATTTTCTTCTTGTATTTTTCTATGGCATTTTCGGCCTTTTTTAACTTCTCATTGTTGTGCCTGCTTTCATCTAACTGGTCTTTCAACCGTGCCGCTTCTTCTTCTTTGAAATGTAATTCTTCGACCTATAAGCGATTATATACATGAACAAGGATTGCAATAATATACTCAAATGAATTATTGCCAAAGGCAATCACCTTGCGAGTGAGCTCTGCAATAACGGCATTTTGACTTTCTAACAACATTTCGGCCTCGTGACGCCGTACTTCGCTTGTATTTCTTTAGTAGGACAACCACAGGGAGAGAAAGCGTATCAATTTTTCAAATCCAAGTCTTTGGATATTTTTTTCTTGCAACAAGAGAATGGCGACGAAATGAGGACATCGAAATTCAACCTACATTTCTTGCCGGAGAGTTTCTATCTCTGTCTTCATACGAAAATCCGCTTTTCCACTATGTGCAGATTGAGTCTGAGCTAGACTTATTTCTATGTCTTTTAGTCGTTGCTTCAACTCATCTCTCTCGGCTTGTAGATCGTCCTTAAACATTCAGATGTACAGTCAGAACAGCCTCCTGGTATGCTAACAAAAATCATCAGAGGCCTTACAAATTGGTCTCGTAATTGGGTGTGTTCTGCAATCAACGCTTGAAGGCTTCTCTCAAGCGCCTCTTTATCGCTCACGAGCTTATTTCGTTCTTTGATATAATTAGATGAATCATATGACCTAGAGCAAACAGACATTAATGACAATACTCGTACGTAAATCACATGCATAATTTCATGCTTGAATACGTACATGTCCTCTGAAGCTTCTACTGTATTCGGCTCAACGGATGATGACTCTTCCAACTTTCTCATAACCTACGTAATTAACGAGTAGCATCGACAATTAGAATAATATCGGATAAAGCGGCAGGCGGTACAAACTGTCTTCTTTCATCTTGTCAATCCGTACCCCAGCGATTAAAACCATCAAACCCTCTTGGGACGAGGGTGAAAGTTTTTGAATCTTTTCAATGTAAATCGCTTTATTCTCATGACACACGGCCCATGTTACGATTAACGAACACAACGTCATTGTCGCCGCAAGATCATCCTCTTTAGCAATCGCAACTAAATCGGGCTGATCCAGTCCTTTAGTTGAGTGACCCAACTTCTCTTCATAGTGTCGCATGAGAAGTTTGTGAAGCTTCTGAAGCCGTCTGGACTTTACGACCCAATAAGTGTCGTCACGAACATCGGATTGTTGGTCAATTTTGAACCACACTGGCTCACTATAATATAAAGTTTTGATGAATAGCCTAATACGGAAAACTATTCATATCTGGCATATGACATCAGATTTCGCGTAAATAAAGCAAACCATCTTACATTTCGTGTAATATTTCAAATAAAGCTCGGCCATCAGTCAGGTCCTTGAGTTTATTTACAGGATTCGAGATATTATTGAAGGTATTAACCTAAAAAGCGGTATGATGAGATGGAACATCGTAGGTGTTATCTTCTGCATTCGAAAAATAACTTCCGTGCTTGACACGGGTATTCGTGCGGCGAGAGCAAGATACTTACCCAGTCCACAAAAGCAGTTTGTTGTTGTTCGGACATAACCTTATATGAAGAGGTATTAGCAATGAAGGAATCGTGAAAAGTCGCCTTGTAGCATAAGGAGGTCGTAGATAGGGGATGTTGTTGGTTGTACTCGAGGTATAACAAAGGGACGTTATGAGAGTGGGACTGAGCTTCTGAATGCCGTTAGATGCTGTCGCGGTGAGGCTTTTTATTTTAGCGTTAGAGTGTCACTTGGTCACATGTCACAAAACCAGATTTGTCGATAAAAATATCATCCCAGGATTTGTTACTTTTTGCACAACAATCCCATTCTGCGAACCGATAAACTGCTCGTTTAAGAATGATATTGCTTATCTTTTTTTTCAATAGTCTATCATCGGTTGAGATGTATAGCAGCGACATAGCACATAGATCCGTTCACAATTCGATGCAGATCACAGATTATCGACATCGTGATGACGAGATCACTGACGGTCACAATATTCAACTCGAAACCACACCAATAACACGAATCATCATCTCCATTCTAACAAAAAAATTTTTTTTTCTCGGGTAAACCAAACAGACACAGATTACCGATCGAGAGGATTAACGATAGATGCGACAAAATTCTAAGCATTCTAATAACATATTTAGCCCTTTGGCTATTTACTGAAACATATTTTCATTGATATTATTAATTAATTCATTTATGGAATATTCTTCGTGATATCTATCAATCGTTTCAACCCGACTATCCACTTGTCACATTCCGAGAATTTCGTGGTCATCAATTTCACTTGGATATCAACAGCAGCTTGGTAATCGCGGACTCGTAGTGCTGGTCAATACAAGAGTCATGGTTATACGAATGAATGTATGAAACCCTTTGTAACGATAACCAATAAACGCTTACCTTGCGAAAATAATAATAGCGATTCGATCACAGATTCAGATATCATTTCATTATTGAGCTCATCGAATAGAGCGTTGAGACGTTTCTCAGTGTCATCCAACATTTTCTTGTTTTGTGGCTGTTCAAGAAAACAAAACGTTTAGTTCGTCAGTGCAATGAAAGAGAGGGTAGTCGCATAAAAACAAAATGTTATTTATTTACAGGTGAATGTTGTCGAGCCCTTTGCATCTCTCCACTTAAGATTGTGAATATGGGTTTATGTGCAGCGGGTATATGAGTCCGATCACCAGGGGCTAAGAAATATACCAGATTATTAATTAGGTTAAACAACAAATAAGCCAATAGAATAATGACCCACACTCACAATACTTGTTAGCCGGGGTAGGTGTTTTCACGGGTGTAGGTGTCCGAGCTAATTGCACAGGCGGTGTTCTCGTCGGTGCAGGTGGAGGAGGACCTTGGTGAGAAACTTGCGGAGGGGCTTGTGGAGGGGCTTGCGGAGGGGCTTGTGGTAGAGCTTGTGGAGGGGCTTGTGGAGGAACTTGGCCCACCAAGGGTTTTGTGGTGCCATAAGCGCCTGTTTGTGCAACAGACCCATAACCACCCTCTGCAGGTGTGCCATATACACCAGGTCGATATGTTGGATTAGCATGGGGAGGCGGTGTCGGTGTCGATCTGCCTTGCCCATAGATCCGAGTTTGTGGTTGTGGTGATGCACGAGTACCTGCGTTAGGTGGTGCTGCCTGGCCCATCACCTGATAGCCGCCAACTTGCGGCGGCGGCGGCGGTGGTTGCTGTCCTCGATTAGCAACTGGAGGCGGCTGATGACCAACGTATTGTGGAGGTATATTTTGTGGATGCGACATATTTTGTGGGGGCGGTATATTTTGTGGTTGTGGTGGTGGCGGCGCGGGTTGTGCTATGCCACCATGAACGTTAGGTAGTGGATGTGCCTGTGCTGCATGTGCTGGCGGTACTGGAGCAGACGATGCTGGGAAGGGCGAAGTGAGTGGTGACTGTTTACCCAATTGTGCTGCTGTTCGTTTTGCTGGATTGGTGGGGGGAATCATTGGAGGATCATTCCAGTTCGGAAGGTTTTTCTTATATGCAGCTGAAATTTCTGCTGGCGGTGCAACACTAGTTTCGGTGGTCGCTGTAGCAGCTGGTGGAGGCGGGATAAATTGATTATTTCCCGTGTATGCTTGATTGTACCCCGGATAGGCTGATTGTTGGTATGCATACGAATTTTGAGCAGTTTGTTGATATGGAGCTGCGTATTGATTATATCCATAGGGTTGTTGTAAAGGCACGGCTGGTTGAACGGCCGCCTGGGTGGGTAATCCGGCGTTGGCAGCAGGCACTGGAGGCACCTGTGGAACCACTGGTAGTGGAACCGCCTGCTGTTGATATGCATATTGATTGTAATAGTTTTGAGCAGATTGTCCACTTGGATCATAAGATTGCGGATTATATTGTGTCGAATACTGGGTAGCGTCGGCCGTGGCATTCGCTTGATTAACTTCACTCTCTGTACCGACGTAAACTTGTTTAAATGGAAACACCGGTGCTTTGAGACCACCAACATCTATACCAGAATTATATACGCGTTCTCTTATAACAGCCAAGATATCAAGTTGATTAGGGTTAACCCTATATTCAACAGGAATCAGACTTAAATATTTCAAAGCAACCGTTAAACGGCCTTGATTCGCCATTAGCTCTGCATATTCGGTATATTTATTGTACAAAGAAGCTAGTTTGAAATGGCCAACGGGTCCTTCGTTACTAGAATCCAGAGATTGCACAATGTCAGAATCAACGTAATCAATAGCTTTTCGGAATACTGTAACCTTCTCAACAAGGTTCTGTAAACTCTTTGCGTGGAACGAAAACCGGGACGTTGATTTCTTATGACCTTCCTTTTGAGCACGTTTAAGCTCCTCTTGTTCCTCCTCTTCCTGTTCGGCGATCCAAATATTAACAGCCCTCTCCAAGTTGCCAGCAGCCAGGTAACACAATAGCGCATTTTTCCTATACTGCAACGCTACCTGTCGTGCATTGTCACTAGACGCAGAGACAGATTTATGATATTCTTGTTCAAGCCTTGTGCCAAGAGCATTACACAAAGTACCAAATTCTTCTCCACGAGCGAACGTGCAAAGTACTACAACCACCTCTTGCCATTCATTCAAATCTGCATTATATACTACATCCGACAAGTCTCCAGCCACGATACTCTGAAGCAAACGCACATATGGCACGTTCTTAATCTGTCGCTCAAAGTAGGCTTTTTGCGTTCGTTGTACTAACTCTGATCCACCACAGACAGCCAACAAAAGAGCATCTGATAGCCTATCAGCTTGTAGACACAGATTCACGGCAGACTCAAAGTCACCAAGAACGATTGATCGAGTGATTAACTTGTCTATATCTGATTCGTCTGACGGGTAGATCTTGAACGGCCCCAAGTTAGTCGGCGGCATTGTAGTTTCAGTCGCTGTCGAAACAACTGAAAATATATCTTCGGACGTAGAATACGTGGAATCGACTGCAAATGCGTCTGCAATGTTTTCCGAATCGCCAAACAAATCTGATGTAGTAGCTGGACGTTCTGCTACAGCTGATTGAGGATCTGAAGTGGTAGATTCAAGGTTCGATGCAGTAGACTCAAAGTTGGATTTTGTTGATTCAAGGTTGGTCTTAGTCGGTTCAAGGATCGATTTGGTAGATTCAAGGTTCATAGACTTTATAGCGGCAGATATTTGTGTAACAACATCATCTTTCGTGAATCCAAGGTGTCTCACTAATTCCGCTCTAGGCTTTTCATTGAATAACGTGCGAAGAATTTTCCAATTATCCGATGCAAACTCGTTTGAAGCGCACTTTTCTCGCTTCTCACACAGGGAATTAAGTGCTTGGCTGTCAACGGAACCTTCCAACTCATCCGAGCGCTGGAATAGCTCTGGTTCTGTGACAACTGTTGAAACGATAACTTTATAGCTATCAGTGTTTTTGCTATTGAAACGTACTAATTTGCCGCCAAACCCAAACTTGGCACCAACAGGGCATCGCAGCCATTTCGGTGGCTGTTTGAGGACGAGTGAAGGCGTGTATTGTCCGATAGATGCAAACGGATCACTACTCTGACTTGCTGGCACTTCCTTTTGCTCCTGAGATGATCGTAATGAGTGGATGTTTATCTACATAATAATAAGTAGTGTTGAGCATAAGTCTCTTATAGATATCGTTGCCGACAACAGTGCATAAATTTGTCTAATGTACCTTGCCATCAAACGAAGCTGTTGCCATCAAATCGGGGTTTCCTGGACACCATTGAACGTCGAAAACCCAATTAGAGCACGGAGGAAGCTATTAGAGAGTACAGTCACGATGTAAGCGTGACAATAACTAGTGTGATTGCATGAACGAACGAGCCTTGCTCGAGCGCTGCGTCACTCGTTTGCCCATAAGTATGAAGGAAACAATCTTAAACAGCAGCCAGATCAAACTGGTTTGGTCATGACTGTTCCCTAATCGCCGAGGAGTACTACTCAAAAATGACGCAACACTCACAGCAAAGCTACCTCCTTCGATTCCATACATATACAATAACCGCGAATAGGCTCAATTAATTTACCTCTCCAATGACTTCTGCATTCTTTGGATTCCAACAAAGCGTACGATTATCTTTACCACATGACAGTAATAAATCTGCATCCTTCAGACACCATGAAAGTGACAGTATGCCTTTCTGATGCCCAGACAAGATCTATTTTTGAATAATGTTAGTAAAAATGCGCGAATGGGAGGTGGGCGTCCGCCAGCACAATCAGTTACTCGCCTTTTCAGGAGCACGTGCGTTTCGAAGATCCCACATTACAATCACCGGATTCCCATCATCTTCTGAAGCGGCAATGATTTGTGTAGCCTATAAAAGTTTGAACCAATTTTTTTTGTTACTTCAAGCTTACCGATATACATTCAGGTTCTAAATGACAGACATACCGCATCAGGATTCCATGCAATAGCGGTAATACCTCTCCTTCCACCAGCTCCCATCGTACCTCCGGCACTCATTATTCCACCCATGCCGTAGGATCCTCCCATTTGGTTTGATAGTCCAGCATGTGACAGGTGCATAGCCTCTCGTTTATTCTTCAAATCCCATACAACCGTATATCCAGTGGTCGAAGAGGTAGCTAAGATATGTTGAACTTTGTTATTCCATGCAAGATGCGTAATATCTTCGAGTTTTGTTGAGCGGGCGCCTGGCGTGAGTGGTGACGCAGGAGCAGTGACATCCCAAATGAAAACCTGTTAACAATCGCGCCAAATTTTTATCAGGCGATACAAAGGTAATTCATTAGACTGCAATAGTAATCCAAGTTCAAATATAAGAATCCGAATCAACTCACTGTTCATACCTCCCCATTAGTCGCACCCGATGCCAACAAGTTGGGTTGGAACGGGTTAAATTGCAGACCGCGGACATTACCCGAATGGGTTGTGTTGCGTAAAACCAGAGCCTCCGTTGTGCTGGTTGGGACGGTCAATTACGATGAACAAATGAAGAATAAATAAAATCATCAATAAGTAAGAGCACGAGTGAGTTCGAGTCGTTTTCCAGGTGATATATTGTTGAGACTCACTCGCCACCTTCCAAAATAACTGCCGGATCCCACAAGTCAAGTTCACCGGTTTCCATGCCACCGGCGATGAGTCCATATTGTTTATCTGATAAACCACCCCATGCTAGTCGGTCAAATCTGGATATTAAAGCATAGCGCAATGCACATAAGTATTCGATAGGCCCAGTGGCGATCTCTTAAAGCAAACTTCGAGTTTGATTATTAACAGTCAGGGCTACCTTGCTTTACTAGTGACTACACCAGCAGGTTGCAATTCAGCGCCAGCTGATTTGTTAATGTTGTCGAGTCGAAATAGTTCCAGTTCTGACGTAACTGAAAAACTCGCGTCAAAAGCTCCAGCAACAGTGCCAGCAGCAATAATTGGTATTTGCTGTCCTGGACTCCAGGCGAATGTTGCTGTGCGTGAAATTTCTTTTAGTTTCATGAAGAAAATATGCTATTAAGTTAGAAAAAGACGGTAAGTTTTTTGCTTGCTAACTAGACAAAATTTTTAAAGTTGTTCGCTGGCTGAGCAAGTAACCAATAAGGCATCGATGAGCAATGAAAATGTGGCTCGATGTTATTTGGTAGTAAAAACTGGTATGTAACGTAGTTCACGTGATGTTGAAGAATGCTTTTATTGTCGACATACCATATTTGCAAAAATCCCCGAAGGAAATACATTCGGGCGCCATTGACATCTGTTCATATGAATATGGTGTTTGCTGGTATCAGTAAGCTCTAATTCTGCCAGTACATCAAGTACGTCATGAAACAAGAATATGGCTGGGTAGTGTTTATTCTGTTCTTTTGACTCGACAGAGTTCCGTTGTTGAAGCTATTTAAAGATCTTGTTATTTTTTCGGCATATTACATAGTTTACAAAAAGATAAAAATTATCGCACACGGTAAAAATTGGTTAAAGTCTAAAGCAAAAACAAAGAAAGGAAAATCATAGTTTTTGGATCCGCTGAATGAAGAGTAATCTTCCATCAAATGCAACGACTTCCTTTAAAAGGGCGTGCTCATACGCAAATCGATTAGCAAAGTACACGAATGCATAATTCTAATTTAATACAAATAATAGTAAGATTAAAGCCAGCGAAAGAATAATACAAAAGTGTGCAGTAATACCTTATTTGGTATGAATTCAACATCGGAAACGTGTCCAAACGTCTGCTGCAATAAACTTATCAACCGACTCTTATCAATGTTTCCTCTGACATTACCGATAACGACTTTTTTATAGGCGACAAAAAGGTAACAATTATTCATCTTACTAATCCGTATTAGTATTGAACACAATATATTAATTCACTAACCGCAAAACTCTTCAACCACTGGTTCGATTTCAACATCAACTCTCTTTGCATTGTATATCGGTCCACTTTCAAAGCTTATGTTGCTTTCGTTTTCGCTTTCGTTTTCGTTCTGCACTGCTAGTGGCTTATCCTTGACAATCTTGGATAAAAAGTTTAATGTGTTGTCTTGTGTTCTGATCAATGTTTTTTGCGCGCTAATAAGATCATTGTGTAGCTGGGCTATCTTTCGGTCTTTGGAAAGAATAATGTCACGAAGATTATCACAATTATGGCAGAACGTGCGAATTTGATTTTTAACCGACATAACGAAAGGAAATAAGTGAAGAAGTTAGTTTGCGAACAAAGATTGCTATATTCGTGTGAGAACAAAGATTGCTAATATTCGTGTATGTGAACAAAAATTTCTAATATTTGTGTGCGAACAAAGATTGCTTATATTCGTGCGGTTTAACTAACTAACCAAACTCACATTACACCACTACTACGTGATAATTCTAATTCTAACAAAGAGTCGAAATAGCGTGACGTTGTTATTGTGCTACGTATATTTTGACCAACGATAAACGTGTTTACGTGTGCAAATTTGAAGTTTACATAACATAATAACCCAGATTTGGATATATGTAAGAACAACTAATAGTAAACAGGTGGACTACAATTGTGTCACCATAACAATGTCACGTTAATGCGATTTTTTTTTCTTGTTCTGACGTGTCTGATGCGTTAATAATGAAAAGTTTGTTATTAATACTTATTTATTATTCGAACGCGCCAAAATAGTTTATCCACACAATTTGGCTAATGTTAACAAATCTGAGATGGTACGTGATGTTTCCATCTTGGGGAGAGGGTGAAGCACATTTATCATCTGCATATTAGTTAGTTGAACACACAAATATTAACATTCGATACATCACGCATTTTTATTGATTGGACGATGTCAGCACATTCTTCAACAATGGAACTTTTAATCCAATCTCATTGCTAACACTTAGGTACTACGTATTAATACATACTGTCAACTAGAATCCCAGAAACTTTCAGTTGGAGAAACAAGTTCAAATTTTCGAACAATCTTATTGATAGTTTGCTTCATACACTGCAAGAGTCCGTATGTCTTTTTTACTAGTCTCTTTGATAAAGCCGCCAGAGAATTCCATGACCATTGCATCATGCATGAAAGCAGACATGATCAACTCATCAACGAGTTTTGTTCATTGTTTAGCATCAGGATTATCTTCCATTGAAGTGGGTAACTTTTCAAGCCTGTCAGGTGTATGTAAGTCATGTATTAGTATTAATGCATGCTTGAGAACAGAAAGGATGACATTGATGCGGATGTAATAAAAATTTGATATAATTAGTAGAGGAGATAAGATTAATTCTGCTAAGAAGTTGCAAGTGAATAAGTCAAATGAATCAAATGTCGAGTTTCCACACGTCCTTGAGATTTAGCGTAGTTATAGTTATCAGCGTTCTCTTACCATGCTAAAGCAACTAACAATTAGTGACTTTAAATAGGCTTTACAATACATACGAACTTGTTTCGTAGAGTATACGCTTCTTGTAGATGATATTTATTTCTCGAGAATAATTGCGATTATAATTTACTGGGATAAGGTAAAAGTCTATCATGCATGCGGAAAAGTTTCGGTATAGCGCGTTGACAATTAAATAAAAACTGTCGAGATACTATAACTAGCAATTCGGTTATCGGTCAGAGGCTTTATTAAAATATAAAACTATTTTGAAAGGGCAATTATAAGACTATTGTCGTTAAAGGAGTCAAACAAATAAACAATCTAAAAATGATCTGAAAAATGAGGTTGTTAAAAGAAAATTCGCGCTGTTTAAATAAATATCTTTTGTCCGATACTCTTTTGATAACTATTTGAGAAGACATTTAATTGATGCCTATTTTCAATAAAAAGCTAATAATAATTCGGCTGAATTATTTTGAAACCCGCATTTGAACATCAATTATGCAGGACAATACATCGCGTAATTTTGGCATTGGAGATTTTCGTACTACCGACGGAAATCGCGGAGAGATACGTCATCGTTATTAGCCATCCGCGAATGTACAAAAAAGTTCATAGGGCAAAACGGGACATTGTGGCGAACGACCATTTTATTATATGAATCTCTTCCTTTTAAATGAATGCAACTCAGATTCCAAGCAACAAATCTTAGTAATAAATCAGGTGTATTGATGTTAAACAACCATCTAAACAATACTTGTCTTTCACTAATTATGGGAACACCTAAATTTGACTGTATCACATGATATCCTTTGTTAATAAAACTAACAATCATACTGCACCAGTGAATAATGAATTGCCTTTCCCCCTCCAATCGCTGACTTGCTATAATACGACCGCAAAAACGCGATAGCTATTATTATAAACCCGACTCGTTATAAAATCGACCACAACAGTCGCAAATATAAAATTCAACTTTTTATTAATCATGTCTCTTCGTAGTCCTTCTCCAATGGCTACGCGTACGCATTTTGAGATGAAATCTCGCATTCCAGCCAAATACAATAGTCTCAAGATTGAGAACCATCGGTTAGCCGGTTTGCAAATTAGCGAGTCCTGTAATCGTCCAACCATTCTTTGCTAATGTCACTCTTGTCCATTCATTCGCATGTGTAACGGCTTTCCTACCTGTAGATTTGCACATTCTACTAGTGCTTGTTGTTTGGTTCTCCTGAATTCGCCGTACCGCACATAAACTCCAAGTTTATTCGTGAAATATTTGTAAACAACAGATTTGAATTCTGAACCAGAGTCGACATGCAATTAACCATTCTGCGATTGTAAATAGTTTTGAACGCCTCCAAGACTTCTCCCGGTTTTTACTCTTTATGCGTTTTGCCATCAATTTTACGAGTCGCTAATCAACGATATTTAATGCATAACGATAGATGATATGATCTCTAACGTTTTTCGGGAGTTCAAGTAAATCCGCCTGATGCACACAGCATTTTCTACATGTACCTGAATGTGCGGTCCTTTTTCGGACGCACGTGTAAGTTAGCCAATTCTTCCTTTTCGAGTTTAGCCGATGATATGCCTGATCCTAAAATTTCTCGATTCCAGCACCTGTAAATGGCTTAGAATCTGACTGTTGTTAGAGGTATACAGATTCGCCGGGCTTTGAATTTGTTATACTAAACTTTGCAATTTCTTCTGGAGGCTGAAGGCCAAAATTATCGAAATAATTGGCATTATTACCCTTTTTGTGATACGCGACCAATGAGTCCCACTGCCATAACTATTATCGAGATTTGCACTAGTGCAGTCATTTTCTAAAACCTCTTTAAGGAGATTGTTTCTAGCAAAAATACCACGAAATTTGGAATTTCTAACAGATTTGCGTAATTCTCGATATCAATATTAGACAACAGTTTCCGATGAAGAACTGATTCTTCCGCATTCCTGACAGATACCTACTGGTGCCACGATGCATTAAATATCAACGTGCTATCGTTTTCGAGACAGACCGGCAATAAAATCACGATAGACCGATTTGTAACTCGTTCAGATGGCAAGAGTGTAAGCAATTGAGTAATTCAACATAATTTTCGAGAAAATTCATCACGGCGGTAGCAACGGTTATATCAATGGTTATTTTGCGGCACTTGTTTTACATTATCATGAAAACGTGGCATTATACCATTCGTCGCCAAGCGATTTCGAAGTGAGTGCGACCGATTCCTAAATGTTGAGATACGTTTTCTGACAAAGCGACGTATTGCGATCTCAATAGTAAAATGTTCGCTTATTGGTACGTGTTTTTTTCATATACGGGTAATCCTATATATTAAATTTATTACTTCTGCCTGTATTAATATTAAATCTAAAACATCGTTTCTTATAGAACATACAATTTGCATATGACAATTCCTATGTAATAGTGAAGTGATGAATTTTTGCCTACACACTTTGTGTACTAATTCCTTTTTCTAACTTTCATGCATTCTATATTTACTTTTATGCTTATTAGATAAATCCCTTGTTCTGATGAGTCATTCACATACACAGTTTCTTAGCATAAATTACCGGATATATTTGTTGAATCTGCATATGTTTCTTTGGTGAAATATGCAATTCAGCAGGATTTGCAGTAACTCTTGTAAGAGTCTTAATAATTTTTGTGACTCATTTCCATCATCATACACCTGTTGGCTCAACTTGAGAGCAGCCAACGGAATTTGTAGGTAACAACACATTATCCATATTATTAGATTATTCAACTTTCCTTTAAGTGGTTTCCCATTACAAATCTGTGTTGCACTTTCTGCTGTGTTGTAGTGAGAATTTTTGTAAGTTCTTGTGCCAACTGCAAACCATTATCATTATCCCTTGACCAAATTGCATGTACAAAGAAATATATGGGTTTTGTGTTGTATCATCAATTCCCTGCATAGTGTGTGGATAAGCATACTGTTGCTGCTTCTGAAAAGTTACCTGAAACTTTCCAATTCTTCACCAAACTAGCAAATATGTAATCTGTCCAACCTCCAAAAGATAATCAGTAAGAGAATAGATCTAATAAAGTCTATCCCTTTCTGATTTCTTTTGCAAATAATTGCAACCCCTTGGGAGCAAAAATTCCAACATCAACATATTATTGAAAGTTGGTTGCATAATGGATATGAAAAAGGTAAAGAATATCATTTTCCACAAACAAGCTGTCCAACACATCAAGGCTTGAATCTTCATCTTCATCATTGTAGTTAGTCTTAAACCAGTCATCCAGTCTCACACCAAATAAAGCTTTAATAAATCATTGACAAAAACAGGGTGAGAAAATTGATTGTTTAGGTCTTTTGCTTATTGTTTTCTTGATGCAAGCTTCCATAGCCATAAGTACAATAACAAGATGTGCCACTAATTCTCCATGATATCCTCGTTCAATCCAACCCCATTTCATATAGCTGATAGCTGAAACAAGCTTTCCAAGTAACAAGACTAGGGATATCAGGCATAAATGATCTGAGCTGATGCTTCCATCAAATATTGGTTCTACACATTGTGATAAGAAAGTGCTGCTGATCCAAAACACAAGCATGCATGTAACTGGCAACCAGTTCAGAAGCAAGATAACATTGGGATGTGAAATCAAGCCCAATACATAATCCCAGAATTGCAACTGCAAGTTTTTTATCCAGGCTTTGCTTATTATTATCTAGTTTTGCAAGCTTCCCATCACTACTAACCAACTTTTCCATCACCACCTTCCAAGCTGCATAGTCAGTTTATCTTCAGACACTGCATCAAGTTGTGTTCTAGCTCCCCCACATTGGTCGACCATATCTCTATACCTGTATAACAATTTTGGTTTGATGACATTGCACTTTCAATGGTCTGCACTACATGATCGGTTAACGCGATAAGCAAGTCACATGGTAAAATCTTCCCTATTCCCCTGACGATCAATTAGACATTATGTAGCACATTTACGGGTCTGGAGATAGCACAAGATTTTGATCTTTTTGGTGATAACACAAACGTAGCTAAAAATAGAAAGTAACAGAAAATTGAAATCTGCGGCATAGAAAAGTAACGCGGAAAAAATGTATATAAGGAGCCTTTCCCGACCGTCTAAAAATTCTCATGTTGTATGTACATTGTTGTTATAAAACAAATATTCGATACTGATGCAATAAACGATCGATCTGATCATTGTCTTTTAATTATTACGAAACTCTTTTTAATTCATTATTCTATTTCTATCGTCGCAATACTAGCTTTTTGACTTAACTATCTGCAGTAGATCGGTAACGACTCGTAGCTGTGTTAAAGATAGTTGTCAGCACAATAGATCGGTAACGACCCGTAATTGCGGTAAAGCATAAAGAATCTCGAACGATAATTTAATTATTTATTGTTAATTAGAAAAAAGTGACATTTCCCGACTAGTCAAAACACTAAATCGAAGTTTGCCCTATTTAGAATTAGTATAAAATTTATTCCTTTGATTCTGCGATAGATAGATTGTTGTTGTTTATTATCGTAGGTACCCTTATTTAGATACGAGTATAGAAGAAATACATCGTTATAGGGAGTAAAAGCGAAGCGCGCACATAAATAATTAGTGTTACTTGTCAGTTTAGTTCAGCCTTAAGGGAGCAATCGTGGTAGTAAGGGCAGCGACACGAGCTAAATTGTGAAAACCTCATCTCGGCAAAACACACCTATGCAATTTAATTGCTCTCCCAACAAAAATTGGACGCCGACCGTAACAATATCATTGATTTTAAAAACATAGGGAGCAATTTTCTCTCCTTGAGCTTTCCTTAGGATGCTGTTATAGTTTATATTCATTACATTCTGGTATGATAAAGTGAACATTAAACTAACAAGCCCATAAGTTATTAATGAGCACCATCATTGCTTTTCAAAACATCACCAGTCACCTCTCATTTATGTCACAAATAGAATATTCACTTTGTCTAGTTTTGTTGCTCATAGTGTCAGAAATCATAACTCAATTTTCTGGTGACAATCCATATTAATATTTGATAGTAATAGACCAATATAAAATTTTAATTATTATGGAAATTCAAAATAAACCATCATGCTTAATATGCTACAATTCTTTGGATAATTTAAACTACGCTCTAGTTTTTGTCATATGCAACCTTTTCTCTAAGTAAATTACTCATGTGTTGTTCTAGTATTATTTGTTACTAGAGGGTGATCAGAGAAATTTGAGAAAGATATTCAGTATTGCAAATCAAAATGTAAACTACTTTAGTGCAAAAAAAATAAATGAGATTAAACTTAGCATCTCGGTTTAAATTCCCATTGCTGAAATATGGTACTTGACTATTAATATTAAGGGAATGACATACAGACATAGTAATAGTAATAGTTCGAGAGTCTATGTATCAGAACCTTATGATTAATTACTCTATTACATATTATTTCTATTGTTTCAGCTCCTTTGCTACTCATTTAGTTACTATTCTAATACGCAGAATAGGTACGGCATCGTATGATTATTAAATTTGGCCGATACCGATGGTTTCTTGTTTCCGATGAATGAATCACGTATTTTTGAAACTGTGCACTTTAAGCATTCTGTTTCACCATAGCTAGCGTCAACTGTATTTTCTTTTTTTTCGGCACGATGCCAAAATACTAGAGATGGACACGTACTTTCAAAGATGTCACTGAAAGACAATTCAGTCTTAGTTGTACAATTACTGCAGAGTCTATTACGCGAATATCGGCGACTGTGGGAACGAAGTGGAAGATCAGTACATCTATGGTTAGTTTGGCGGGAATTTGAGTATATATCAAGAACTTTCGGCGTTGCACGCAAATCAGGTTTTCCCTGTTTCTCTTCTTGCCGTTACAATATGAGAACTGTTAGAGTCGACCCACTTTCCAACTGTATGTATGTGATCGAATATCCACCACAATTTAAAGGATATGTAAGTTATCAATAGAACAAGAACTATTAACTCTGCACAATATTGTGCTGACTCGTCATCATTTATCTCGTCGTTCTTTTCACACGTTAGATCACCCAATCCGATTATCACGCTTTCATTGAAAGAATAAATGAACCATATAAAGTGTACCGGACAAAGGCTATTCTGGTCTCTTGCATCTTCTTCTTGTTCATTCTATTCGATTTCTTGGGGATATGTCTTGTGAGCTACTTTGCTCTAGCAGTAGACCCAAGGTTTTCAATTGCTACATTCATCGTAGTCCTAGTCTTACTCCCGGTTGCTTTGGCATCGATGGGCTATTTTCAGAAGGCGTTACTTGAAGCGGTGAGTTCAAATATCGAGTCTGATGCATTGTAGCAATCTGTTGTTTTACTATCCATTTATTTATTATTCAGATGGAACGGGAGAGGTCACGTATCAGTAGCAACTTTACCTTTACTGACAAGTCAAGCGAAGTTAAATGGTATTATACTCCAGGAATTTTTTCCTTCTCCGGTTATAGACAGGTAAATGACCAAGCCGTTGGTTTTTAATTGTAAAGTCGATAACATTCATATTAACCTATTCTGTACGCATATTAAATATGTAAGCCTAATATTGTAATCGAATTACCCGACAAACACGAACCCTTCGACGTCGTATAAGCCAATAACGGAAAATGCGTTGACGCGAGCAGCAGCGCAAACGACGCCATTGTACTAACGCGTCACAAACAATAAATTACCGAATATACAAATTCGATGTTCGAATGAATATTGTTCAACTAAATATTGATATAAGCTTTGCTCATTAGCTTGTCATCTTGATGAATTTGGCAAGTAGATAGGTTGATTGAGAGATATTGCTCATTTGCTCTTGTCGGAATAAATTGGAAAGATTTCTTTATTGTTCGATAAACTATAATATTGCAGTAGAAGCGAACTACAATACTACTGATGGTGATGAGAACGATCAAAATCATTCGTGATGTGATACGAAATATTTAGAGCGTCCTTTGCATAGTAGTGGTGTAGCATTTTCACTTTCGGCCACTCTTTTGACGTTCTATTTAAAGTGTTTCTGCAAAGGTAGATATTATTATGAAAACAAATTTTCCAATTGTCATAATAATATTAATTGCTTATTGTTCCATACTTATTATTCTTTCTGGTATTATTCGACGTTCATTGATCCATGAATTTTTGTTTTGGACGTGTCGTTGGTAATGATTATAATCGAAAAGGTCATAGCTCAAACTCGTACACATCCAAAAGTCTCATGTTTTTGATTATAACAGGCGTTGCGTTGTGTTCAACTTGAGTTGTGGAAATTGCATAGATCACAGGCTTAGCAAATGGACAGTTTCGCTAAAAATAAGCTGATAAGCACACTAACGAATGTCTTTATTAATCCGTCGCGAAATATGCTATCGAGAAGTCTCATCATCGAATTCACAGTGTTCCTGGATCAAAGCACAACATACACACCGGAAATGAGTGCAAGCATCCCCGACATTACTATCCTGCAAGAGGAATATTGACAGACAGATTTAAAATAAAACTTATCATACCTCGATTCATTTTTTTTGCACGAATTTCGCCACGCGTCATAGTAGAAAGACAACGGTTACAAAATCTGAACTAAAACCAGAATCGTTCATCTTCTATCATGCATGAATTGCATTAGGTGAAAAAGAGGACGACACAAGGTTTGGAAACAGTCCGGGCACGGTGAAACAATCAAATAGAGCAGCTTTTCTTCTCTAAAATTTCCTGACTTCAATATCGTCGGTTTTTTGACAACTGATTTGCTGGCCTATAAATAAAAATTGCGTCAGACAAGAGTTTTTGAGTACAAAGCTCTGACAACGCATCCGAGCCAAAAAGACCAACCATTCATTGAGCTCACAGCAGCCAGACGATGTTTGAACGCAACAAACTCGAAAGCGGAACCCAACAAATTGAGACTCCCAACACAACAAGACCCGAATCACTTGCCTTAATAAAGTTTGACACTTATAAACATTCAATGTAACTGAATTATTGGAGCGTTTAATAATATGTCGAATCGATACTCGTTATTAGTATGAGTATTGGGATAAGTTTCTTCTATCACTTCTTCAACTACAGCGGCATTTGCACTAGTATAAGAGCAGTTAGCTTTTTGTTAAAGACAAAGAGGTGCGACCGGTGAGTACTTACAGTATTTCATGCAGATGCTGTACGGGCTCAACAGTGAGTGAGGCTGCAACCACTCGACAGTGGAGGTGAAAACGGTCTAAAACGAAGTTATTGAGAGAGCCGGGGTGTCTGAAAATCAGTAATAGTTCGCTTTTAAAGATTGGACTTGCGTCATGTGATTAAACAATCTTTAATATCGCATCGTGATCACCAATGACATAAACATAAGAACTTTTGATTATATTAACTAGATATTTTGAATTACTAGATTCCTCTATCCTGCTTTATTTGTCAATATCACTGCGGTGCTCCTATTCTGTGGCGTCGTGTTGAGTTTTTCAACGAGGATTATCAGCAGAGTCAGCGTGCCTTAAATATGTCTCGGCGATTGATAAACTTTGAAAGAGTTATGCGTGGAAAAATAAAGCCACTCTATTGTTCAAAGATGGTATATCTCAGATTGGAAGGTTTAAAAATCCCTACCGGCATCATAATTGGAACGGATTTATTCCTGCATTTAGAAATTATATAGAGATTAGCAGAATTAATCCTAATACTAATCATTCAACGTGGATTATAAATAATTATATTTAGTAGCGGAGAATGGGTAATTATTTATCGAGTTATTGTTTTTTTTTCGATTATAATATATATCATTAACATGTTCGTAAATACCCTTGTCAAAGAAAAAATCCCAGTAAAAGCATTAATCGATACATGGTCGAAGTTTAATACCATTAGCAGGAGCTTGTTCGATAAGATTGAATCTCGTAATAGATGAAATAAAATGCTTAGATTTGCAATTTTGCTATAAAGGAAAGTGCCAACTGAGCATCCAATGAAAGAATAGTATTTGAGCTTGTACGACGTGGCAGGTTGTGGGCTAAATTCCCGATTATAGGAAGTGGCGAATTCACTGAAGTAATAGACTTTCAAATTCGCAAAAATCCATCGTTTGATTTAGTGTTAGGACAGTTTGGTTATTATTATGGATGCGTAAAGCAAAAATAACCTTTAGATTTTCTTCTGAAACATGTAGCCATCATGCTAAAATTGTAATGGATGGTATGAGTATCCCATTAATTGGAGACAATAGCAATAACGCGGGCCCCAACCGATTTACGTGTATCAATAGATGAGATCATGAATATGATTAAGAAATTTTTTTCAGATGTTAAGATAATAAGCTAAAGCACCAAAAGAGATATTTCACAACACCTCCATTACCAGAAGATTGGATGATGATTTCAGTAAAGAAATTAAAAGGGCAACCTGAAATCTGAAAAATACGATTCACACGCTTCATAGATGTGGCCAACTTTGAATCCAGTAAATTATTGTTTTTTCAGTCGAATATATATCACATACTATAACTTATTATGAAAATAGCCAAAGCTAAATTTAGAAATCAAGAAGTCAACTGCTGTCTCGAACCAAGATTTTTGGGGCCAACTATGTCTAGCGATAAAATTCTCAAGCATGTTGGTGGGGAAGTATTTGTGAGCGTTTAAAATTATTATTTTTTTGTTTTTAGTTAGAGGAGCAGCACTTCGCTGGCTCGAGAATGGAGACATTTTCAAACAAGTTAAGTGATGTGCTATATATAAAGATGGTTATTCACTTGTCTAAAATTGGAAAAAAAAAGTTATAGTTATTAAAGTCGCACACAGCTTTAACGAGACGATTTGATAGCGATCAATTTCGAGGCCATCTATCTTTTTGCACCGGACCATATTAAAATCATCCATGAACAATTCATTAGTTAATTTGAAAATTACTTCGTTGGACGCGTATTTTATAATAAAATACGATTTAGAATGAAATAATCAAAAAATAAATATCTAAAAAATAATTATTTGATCATTACACCTTATTTATCATATTCAGAATTCATAGGCCCAGATAATTCGTTTTTTATTCTTTTCTTTTGACGAAATTCTATTTCTTTTTGTAAATCTAATAGAGTATCAAATATTAAATGAGTTGCTAAAAGGATTATCTTCTGACCTAATACGTCTAACCATCTTTGTTTATGTCCCGCACCAATAGTAATAGTATATTGGAGAAGCGATATTCGGTGTTACGAATTAATCACATAGTGGAAGCCTCATTCCGAATGGACACATATGTCAGATTGGAATAATAAAGACAAATGTTATAAAAATGGTTTATTGACATTACTATATCAACTCTACATGTGTATAAACAGTTGGGTTTGTTATAAATGTATGCATTTTGAAATTTGCAAGTTTTATCATAAAGAATAAATAATCTGTATAAGCGCAAGTAACTGGTGGTATTACATTATATTGTTTGTATATACTTTAATCTTACCTCTTGATACAATAGTATGTACGTAACAAGTTACTGCCCGTCAATCGTGACAATTAAACATACTTCATAACGTTTTGTTGCTGTAATGTAATTATATCACAATGTAAACTCCGTCTGTCCCCAAAACCGCATTCACATACGTAAAACATTGAAAGTTCAGAACGTTTTATTCGAAGACATCGCATGCATGTATTACTGTCATAAAGAGAACCGTATAAACACAAGTAATCGAAAATATATAAGTTTATTCTCACGAAACTGCCAATGCCGAAAATTAGGAAAAATATGCTAAACATCTTCAATATTCGCAAAACAGTTCACTCAGTGGACGGTAATTGAAGCTTACGTATAGTATAGTATTGTAATATTGATTCGTAAACCGACATAGAATAATCGTCAAGTTGTATGACTTACTTGATAACTCATCAAGCGATAGACAATGCACAGTAACATGCTGTCCTATAACTCTGTTTATCGCTTAAATCAAATCCTCTATAGTAATAGAGACGGTAGTAAATCGGGCTGGTAGATGTGTGTCGCATCATTTTAATTAAATCGAGTGAATTTGTATCCCCATGAATGGGAGAAGTTTGCTAACGTATTTACTAACGCAAAGCCTTTTTTTTCTTTCTTGATCAGTGTTTACTCACTACTGTATTTGCCTTCCTCACCCCATAGAATGACTATTCGCTAACGTATTCAGTAATTCAAGGCAATTTTTCACAACGATACGTTCAGTCAGGCGATTTTTACTCAAATTGTATTTGTCTACAAATAGAAAGACAATCGCTAACGTCTTCTGTAACTCAAAGCATATGCTGAGCCACGCCATTTAACATTTTATGCTTATCAGTCGAAGAATTACTAACGTTTTTAGCAACTAAAAGCACATTCATTATGAATGGCGATCGGTGTTTGTTTATTCATTGCCGCACCTATTCGCTAACGTATTCAAAGCGTTCTTTCACAATGATACGTTCAGATCAGGTGATGTTTACTCACAATTGTCTTAGCTCAAAGCTTAGCGATTTAACAAAATTAAATGTAACTGCAAACTAAATGCACAAGCGATTGATGTGTTTGTCGGAATTGTGATCATTTTAATTAACATGTTTGGGGCTTTACCCATTTAATTATACGAAATTCAAAGACATTAATACCACATTATGGCAACCATATTAGTTGGCTTTACTTTAAGAACAATATTGTTACTAATTATCTGTATTATACTTACTACTATTTCGATCTGACATAATTCAGTTTGGAACAGACATAAATTCTGATCTGACATACAACAAACTTAAATTGCATTCACCGTGTGCCAAGACCGATTTAGGCAATCAGAGTGATTGTGCGTCTACCACATAATATTCAATCAACAAAAGTTTTACAACAAACAAGTATTAATATCTATGTTTCAGTAATTATAATTAGGATTCAGTTTCGTAAAGTGAACAAAAGCTCCCGCTAATTATATTTTATTAAGATACTACTAACGATAAAAATAAGCACATTATTAAACTGACAGTTCTAAAATAAAATATAAGTCAAAGGGAGGGAAAAAATAATATCTATTATCTATGTGGCACTGGGCAAAAAAAAAATAATATCTATTATCTATGTGGCACTGGTCAAAAAATAATAATATCTATTATCTATGTGGCACTGGTCAAATTACACTCTATCAACAATGGCAGAAGAAAGAGATAAGAGAATTAAAGGGAAACAGGGGGAAAAAAAGCTCCGGAATACAAACATTAATTATTCAATGACTTTGGTGACTAAAGCTTTGGCACAGGCCACAACCTTAGGTTTGTCGTGCTCCTCATCTGCTTCTCTTTTTTGGTAATATTTATTTTAATTATATTTGGGCTATAAAGAAAACCATTTTTGTATCGTACGTTTGAAAGTCAAGACCGCGTGCCGTATCCGATAAATCATTATTGCCAAACACAATGCATTTTATATTATCATGTACAAGATAAAGAGTTTACAAGGTCGGACACGTGAAAAGTTTCAGACAGACGGGTCTGCTCTTATATAAAGGAAGCGTCAAACCGAGTCGCAAATTATTCCACTGACAAACAAAAAAAGAAGATTCTTTTCCCTAACAAAACTTTACCCAACTATCTACACACCAAAGAAAAAACACAAATGGCTCGAAAAATTATCGCTGCACTCATCTTGTTGGCTATGCTTTCCACAATCAACGCTGTGCCAAATTCAATGCTTGTTTGGACGAAATGTTTTGATACAATTTCACTACCTACCGTACAAGCAAATTATCCTATACCTGGTCAAGACCTGACCGTTACCGTTTCGGGAGAGGTCCCAGATAAATCTGCGCAATATAA